TTGTGGTTCTGCTTCATGAAATATTCACTCAGGTCACTCCCTTGGCTGCATTAAGCTGTACATGGGCTGAACTGAAAGGTCCAAGAATATATTCCTGATGATGTCAGCAAGAATGGAAAAATGAGAAGCCCAGAAAAATGTGCCCATCCAAAGAACAATGAGAACACAGGATAAACGGTCAATATCAATATTGCAAAACCCTTGAAATTAACTAGGGGCTTACAACAATTAATGAGTATTTATTCAAGTAAAACATCGACTTTTAGTAAGAATCGCTAGCTTTGTGGCATTTTAAACTTGTCCTGTTCACATCCATCTCTCCCTAATACAGTGGTAGGCTTGCAAATGAACAGCCCATAATCACAAGTGCAGACTAGCAGCCTAGCAGCCATTGAAGGAGATAAAATAGAATAAAATAAAATAAAAGCCCTATTCCCAAAGAATTGTCATTGTTTTACCTGACTGGTAGTTCCTTGGAAACCTGTATTCACAGGCTTATTTTTATTTGATCTGACTCATATCACTCAGTGAAAACAGCCTTTTCCCCTTGGCATTTGTTGAAAATAATCAATAGCAATTGTTTAATGTTGCAGCTGCCTGAGACAGCAATTAATGATTGGGGTAAATGAGAAGATGATCCAAAATTTAAAAGGAAAGCTGGGGAAGGAGATGTCTATAGAAAAGCGTTAGAAAGCTCCAACATATTTGTGGGAATCTAGACACCTATGTGTATGCACAGGGATTTGTGGAAACCCAGGAAACATCCAAAAAAGCCCTAAGCTCTTAGCTCTGGCCAACTTTGAAACTGAGCAAACAGAAAGAGAAAGCTAAGGGGAGTTATAAACTGCCTGTCTGAGCATTGAAGACATCTCCAGCAGGCACACACAGCACCTCAGCAGGAGCTGGGATGATGATAGGTCAAAGGCACTTAACTGTTCAATAATTAGCTGACCACTAAAGCAACTGAGCAGAGCTTCTGGTGGTCACACATGACAAAGAGTGCACACACTCCAGGATCAGTCACATGTCAGGTCATAAAACGAGTCTCAATAACTTTAAAAGGACTGAAACCTTCCTGCTGCTATAGAATTTTAAAAGCAGGCCCATTCTTAATACTAGGTTTTTCCATTGATAATCTGGAATTCTAATTTTGGCCAGGTGCTGTATTTCCCTGCTCTCTTCCAATTTATTTCACTTCCTTTTATTTTCCCTAGATGTTTTTCCTTTCCTAACTGACTTTAAGAAACAATCATGGCAGGAACCTTCCTGTTTCCATCTTTGTAAGCCTCCGTGGGTGTTCAGCAAACATTTGCGTAGCTCCAAGTTTGCCAACTAGCAGTCACTGCTGTGTTTGGCTTGGCAAAGTGTTGGTCTGGATGGTGTTTGTGAAAAGATCTGAATTAGTTCCCCGAATAAAAACTCTAAAGTTTTCAGATAAAAATCTGGGTATTTGGCTTCTCTTGAAAAATGCGATGAGCTGCCAACACTGGACCTGTATTCCCATATGGTAAGAGTTGCCCGGAGCTTATTCACAGCTGCCCCTGTAGATGGGCTGGACCCTGCATTTACCCTAGTCTGCATGTTATTCTCTAAATGAGATGAATATCAATGCTGTTCTTAATGCACTTGCTCTACTTTTCCTACAGGATTCTTAAGAGGAAAGTGCAAGGTTTTTTATATGTATATTTCTATCCAGGATGGGAAAACCAAAGCTAGACTAAGAGGTGGCTATGTGTTATTTTTCTTCTCTGTTTTTAGATTTTGTCTATCTATTAATTGATCAATTTAATAATATTTATTGAGTACCTATGTTGTTCAGGCACCGTTCTAGATGCTGGTGAACAGGACAGACGAAGAACATCAGGAAGCTTACATTCCAGTTTCTGGGCTGGGCCCTAGGGCCACGTGGCTGTGACTTTTGGTTTATATCAATGAAGAAAGGATATCTTCAGTGTTAAAACCTTCAAAGGACTGAGAGGAGTGAGGACTGAGATGAGGCCAGTGGAGTGGGTGATTGGGAAAGCTTTTAGAGCGCAGGACGGTTAAGGGCTGAGTGGGGGTGACAATGTTGTCATCCAGAGTACTCATTTAAGAAGCTTCATGGACAGATGGGGTAGGGAGATCATGCTGAGGCAAAGCTGGGGAAGTTTTGTCTGTTTTATAGCAGGGGAGATGGTGAAGATAAGCATATATTTGTAAACCAAGATAAAAAGGGGCACTGGAGAGGGAGAGACTGAAGATTTAAAAGAGTTTTACCTTCTAAAGTGCAGAAATGACTGCAGAATGGGACATGAAGCAACAGAGAAAGAGGTCACAACACATTCTTAGAAGGAAGTAGAGGGATAACTAGCACCAGGGAGGAGGGAGTTAGAACCTGGGAACCACAGGGTGGGTGCTGCCGGAGTCGGGGCTGCTGTACCTCCCTGGGCACCTGAGAGACTCAGCCAGGGACGAAGCACCCTCTGCAGAGGCTGGAGAGGGGTGTGTGTGCACAGGAATGCATGTGTGTGCATGCGTGAATGTGTGTGTATTGTGTGTGGATGTGTGGATGCATGTGTATGGGTGTCTGCATGTGTGTATGTATATGAATGTATGTATGTGTCTGTATATGTGCATGAATGTATGCATTTTTGTATGTTTTGAATGTATGCATTTTACATGTGTTATGTGTGTGCATGTGTATGCATCTGTGTGCATGTGTGTGCCTATGTATGTGCATGTGTATGTGTGTATGCATTTGTGGTGTCTACGTGTGTGTGCATGGGTGTATGTGTGTACATGTGTATATGTGTGCATGTGTGTGTGCGTATGATGAAAATGAAGCCCCACAGTAGCTCCTGTTTCCTCATTCAGCCAGACAAGATGTGAGAGCCAGAGAGCCTCCAGACTGAGGGTAAGCAGGATAGTGAAGAAAAAGGTGAAATGAGAGTATGCATAGAACACACACGCGCACACACACACACAGGCAGACCTCTTTTTATTGTGCTTTACTTTATTGGACTTAAGAGATACTGGGTTTCTTACAAGTTGAGAATTTGTGACAACCTTACACTGTCAGCTTTTTTTAGCAATAAAGTATTTTTTAAATTAAGGTATGTGTGTATATATGTATCTTTTTTAAATATAATACTACCACATACTTAACAGACTACAGTATAGTGGAAACACGGCTTCTACATATGCTGGGAAACCAAAAAATTCATGTGATTTGCTTTGTCACTATATTGGCTTTATTACAGTGACCTGGAACCAAGCCCGCAGTGCCCTGAGGTCTGCTTGTGGACACATACATACATACATACGTACACATATGGACATAAATATGTGCACCTGTGCATGTGTTTAACCAAGTAAGTAAATGAGAACTTCAGGTCAGCACAGATTTTCCCGATATTTTCTTGATTTCCCTACCACATGTGACTTCGTCTCTAACACAACGTGTAAAACCAAAGTTTTGGAATTCTTCAGAGTTTGGTGGTCAGTTTCAGTAGCTGCTTATCAGTTTCAGTAGCCCTTAGTGTGATATTCCCAGTCAGAATTTACCATCTCAGCATATGATGTTTTATTTCTATAAACAACTTCTGGCTGTGTTAGTCTGTAAGAGAATTCTTACCTATGACTTCTCATGATTTTTTAAAAGAAAAGCAAGATTCTCGTCCTGCAGAGTTTTTACATACGGTGGGAATAAATTTAAAAATCAGCTCGGAGGGATGTGTTTCTCCTTGTTTTCCAATGAAGGGCTAAATACGATTTATGTTGATTGTGAATTCTTTTCCTTGAGTTTCTTCATGGATCCAGTGAGACCAGTATTTCAAAACAAGTTTGAGGCAGAAGGATATTTGGCCTGTCTTTTGGCTTCTCTTTGTTACCTAGAAAGAATTTGCTTCTTTTATTTTCTGTAGGAATGAAAAATAAGCTAAAAACCACTTTGTTATAGTTTGTCTTAAACCGATACCTACTAGGAAATCAGAATTAATGACTCGTTTTGTAAGGGTTTGATCTGATAAAACTTCTTTGGAAAATATGCATCTGATTGTTTGCAGTGTTCTCTGAAATGTACTTCACTCTACTGACCAAACCAGGGAGTACCATTTCTTTCCTTTATAAACCTCTACTGTTTGCCAGACTACAGTGAATTCTGAGGTTCTGATGGAACATCCTGTCAGCAAAGGAACGTCACCATGTTGTACTATGGTCTAGTTGCTCACTTTTACACACGTCCAGCTCTAACAACACCTCACCCCAAATTTTTTTCAAAGGGAAAGAACAAGGACGAAAATTCGTCTGGTAACGTAGCTGCGGCTGTCTCCACATACCAATTAGGTGGCTTCCTATAAAAATGCACAATGAATTACAACTTCATTGAGAAAATATTGTTACCAAAGAGTAGGTTCTTCTCTCACATAGGAGAGAGTTCAAGAGAGAGCCATAATAAAGTGAAAGCCGGTTTATTTAGAGAGATACACATTCCATAGTAAAGTGAAAATAGATTTATCCGGGGAGATACACACTCCATAGAGGGCGGGCTGTCTCTGAAGGCAAGAGAGGCGGCCCTAGGGTGAGGGGGTGGTTAGTTTTTAGGGGCTGGGTAATTGCATATGCCAACAAGTGGGAGGATTATTCCAACTGTTTTGGGGAAGGGGTGGGGATTTCCAGGAATTGGCCCCACCCACCCACTTTCTGGCCTATAATGGTCAACCTGGGAACTGTCAAGGCACCTGTGGGTGTGTCATTAACATGCTAATATATTACAATGAGCATATAATGAGTCTCAAGGTCTACTGGGAATCAAATCTCCCACCATCTTGGGCCTACTTGTTTCTAACCAGTTTACCTCCTATCCTCAAAAGCTGTGTCATTCTTGTAATGGTTTTGCCCTGCCCCCTTCCCTCCTGTCCCATTATGACTGAGACACTGTGCTGCAGAGAACTTCATACCAAGATTTTCTGTCCTTGCCACCTTCAGTTTTCCCACAATAGCTCTTTGTTTTGCTCCCACAGGAAGGTATTTCCCAAAGGTCTTCCTGAGGAGTTTGCCATAGCAGCCACGTTTCGGGTACGAAGAAGCACCAAAAAGGAACGGTGGTTTCTGTGGCAGGTTTTAAACCAGCAGAATGTGCCACAGGTAAGGAACCAGAGAGCTGTGCTGGTTTGTTTTCTCTGGTGTGATGAGGCTGGGTGACTCTTAGAGCTGTTCATAAATTTGGAAGCAGATCTCACAATCTGAAGATTCTGTCTTTTAGAGGAATCATCCACAGGGAAATGCAGAGTATTCTCAGAGTCAGGTGGGTCTTGCTGAGATCCATTCTAGGAGAGCCTGGTGGGTGAGACAAGATTAGTTGTCTTTCTTTTTCTTTTTTGTTTTTTCTATTACTAGATTCCTATTTTTGTCTGAAGACACCTCAAACCACCCTTCCTTTACAACTTCATTGACACTATGTCCACTTCACTAACAACTTTCTCATCACCCATCATTTCTCATGTTATATATTATTTTAAAGCTGTTCATTGTTCCATCTGAAAATCCTTAGGGAATGAAGAGATGCGATGTAAATATTGGTCCCATCCACGAAAAATAATTGAACACACATGCTAGTTGCTAGTTAGTGACAAAGATAAGAGACTGGCAAAGTGTGACTCCTGCTCTTGGGGAGCGTGAGGACTGGGGATGCCTTGTAGGAGAACATCTTTCTGGAGCATAATCACAGGGTGACAAGGGTGGTAGCAGAGGACAGCTCCGAGTTGGATGGGGACTGTGGGAGTAATAGGAAGCACATGTCCCTGAACATGAGGAGAGTGGGAATCTGGGAATACTTATGGAAAAGATGGCATTTGAGCAGAAAGGAGAGGACACAGGTACTCCAGGAAGGGGAGATGAACCTCTAAATTCCTTATAGGCACCATACATTTGTGTTTATTTCTGTACATATCCACTGAAATGTTTTTCATTTTGCTGGTCTTTTAATCTGTCAATGTAGTTCCAATTTTGTGATGGAAATAAGCATTGAACAGAAAGAGTAGATCCTCTATGAAATGCATTTTCTCTGCACCATGCAAATCATCAAAGGTTAAAGAGTCTGATCCTAGTTTCTACGCTAAGAGAACTGATCACTTCTTATCCTTTAAAAATTAGTGACATTTAATTCTTGAATTGCTCATACAGAATCATATATATATATATGTAAAAATATGTATAAATACACACACACACCCCAACACACACACACACACACACACACACACATATACTGTAAGATGTTCTCTCAAGAAAGGAACATATTTCATTCACCAAATATCCCATATTTAAACCCCAAATCCCATTTTTCTTTTTGTAGCTAGCTGTGTGCTAGTCTCTTATGCTAACAAACCTTGCAGACACAGCTGTCATCTAAAACACTTTGCTAAATGCCTCAGTTATACTCACATGCACCTTGAGCTTTTATTTGTGTGCTTTAAACATTTCTGACACTGCTTTTAAAGCATCTGAAGATTATTTGCATTTCTGCAGGTTTCTATAGTCGTGGATGGTGGAAAGAAGGTGATAGAATTTATGTTCCAAGCTACCGAGGGAGACGTGTTGAACTACGTTTTTAAAGCTCGAGAACTCCGTCCTTTGTTTGATCGTCAGTGGCATAAACTTGGCATCGGTATACAATCCTGGGGCATTTCCCTCTACGTGGACTGCAACTTAGTTGCCAGCCGGCATACTGACATAAAGGATGCTGTGGACTTTCGTGGAAGGACTGTCATTGTGGCCCGAGCTGCGGATGGCAAACCTGTGGATGTGAGTTATGAGGTTGATTGTGAAAGAGAATTAGTAAAATTTATAAATGAAAAGAAAACACCTTATTGGCGATGGGGTTGTAGCTCAGTGGTAGAGCGTGTGCTTAGCATGTGCGAGGTACCGGGTTCAATCCCCAGTACCTCCATTTAAAAAAATCTTACTAAAACCCTCTTCTTTTAATAACTACGTGATACATTCCCTTCTCAACACTGCTAATTAGTTTGCCATCAGATGTGTAAAGCCTAGCTATGTGTTTCCAACTGTATTTTCTGCCATTTGTCACCCATGTTCTCCAGCCTGTGAATTTAAAAGAAGTAGGTCATGCCTTAAAAAATAAGGCTACTAAAATTAAATTTTAGTAGAAATTGAAACTAGGATACAAAAAGGAAGCTTGGCCTAAGTTCGTGTATTTTGAATAGAAAGGCCTGGAAAAAGATGAACTTTAAATTAAATGGTTCCAGATTATCTGCTGTTTTCATTCAGGAACAATAGGCTGTCTATTTATCCTCAGAATCACAATTGTTTGAATTGCAGGCTATTTTTCATAAGCTTATAATGGGTTTTCAGAGTTCTGTTGGACTGAAACGCAGCCACTAATTGTATCACTAGGTCATTTGGATGAAAACCACAGGCTAGTGAAACCCTTTCAGATGAAAAGTTCCTTTAAAAATTGTATTTGATGCTGCGGGTGATATAGATTTATTATTAAATTTCCCTAGAGAAGAAGGTCTGGCATCTTTAAAAAGTGGGATCTGTCTAAACTTGATGACTTCACACTTTCTTACGGGTAGAGTGACGGGAAAACCCATATAAATAATCTGAATGCAGGGCACCCATGGGCGTTGCCAGTGCTGTTAACACAAAGTTCAGTTTCATTTCAAGAGTACAATTCTGCACAGATACATATTTGGTGGCCAGTATGTTATTTCTAAAGGCCCCTGTGGAAGGCGTCGAAGATACGTGATAGATAGATAGACAGATAGAACGATA